AGCGCATGGCAAGCCTAAAAAGCCCTCAAAGATTCGAAGCCTGAAGCCTAAGCAAACCCTGAAACCCCAACTTCTTGACTCTAAAGATCCAGAATCACAGAGCAAGCCGCCCAAGCAGCCAACTCACTCCTAAACCCTAGGTAAACCCTAAGCCATAAGTCCTAAACCCTAAACCACAAAAAATCCCATATAGGACTTGGCCCAGAAGACTTCAAGCTTTGGTGGCCTTGTGAAGCTGCAGCGTCGCTTCTCAGGGCAGGCTTTGGGCCAGCCAGCTTCTTGCCGATTATACAGGTTTAGGGTTTAGGGTTTAGGATTTAGGGTTTGCAAGTTGATATAGACTTGTATAAGCATACATGGGATTTCATAAGGTTATACCGGAGTATATAGGTTTATACAGGGTTATGTAGGATTGTACAGGCCTGTATAGGGTGTAGGGGTTGGGGGTTTAGGGTTTAGGTTTTAGGAGTGGTTTGCTAGGTGTAAGCATCCGTGTTGTGGGCTATATGACTATGAAGTCCTGTCAATATTAGGGTTAATATTCGGGTTACCAAAGGTTACCCGGGTACCGGGGGGACCATTGGGGGTATGGGATTGCGGGTCAAGGGTTTAGGGTTTCCGGGAGCCACTGTTGATCTTAGGGGTTACCATTAACAGTGGACAAAAGGGTCTGTATTACGGTTGTCTAGCCTAGTCCCTAAGATATTCCTTAGTGGGAGCTTATATCATATCCAGTAACTGTGTTGGAAATCTTCACTGTGCCTTTTAGTAGGAAGATCCAGGGATTGTTTTTGCTTCTACGCCTTTAGCACCAGCAAGGTTTGGGATGAGACTTCCCGGCGCTTCGTGAAGGATTTATCCCACTCTCCCTTGCGCCAAGCAGGCCAACCAGGCCAAGGAGCCCTGCCTTCGCTACCGGATCTTCCCAACATGCCTGCTCCAGCACTGGAAGTGGAGCCGACGCCTGAGGAGGATGAGGAAGAAGAGGAGGAACAGGAGGAGAAATTGAAAGTTGCAGCCCGGTTGGGCTAGCATTTTTTTTTGTTTGCATTGTCACCGTAGCTGTCGCCGTGTCTCTCTCCACAATCGTGGTGGTGGCAGTCTCATTGGTGCTGGCGGCGGTGGAGGTGGAGGTGGTGTTGGTGGTTTTGTTGGCGGCACCTGCGGCAGCGGTTCCTGCTGCTGCTGCTGCTGCTGCTGCTGCTGCTGCTTGCATCCCATGGCACCATCCGGAAATCCAAAATGCAGCCACAACATACCAAAGCTATCGTCCGCGGAGTCTCACTTTCCAAATGTCAGTCCCGAGATGGACCTCACACCCTAGTGAACGCACAAATCATCTCCACGCCCCGCCGTGATCCTGCTCATAAGGTCTTAGCAGTCGTAGCAAGCTCCTGCAGGCTACAAGTCCAAGAGTTGACATCTCACCCAGAAGCACCAAGTTTCAAAAGAAAAGAAGAAAATGCTATTTCGGAAGAAGCTGTCAGAAATCATCCAGTCCAAGGACCACCGGCACAGTTCTGAGCAGACTGAAACCGAGGACAGGCTCCAGGCTTGCCAAGGACAAACCCAAACCCTTTCAGGGTTTAGAGGTTTAGGGGTTTAGGGGTCTACGGGTTTAGGGGTTTAGACGGTAAGGGAGAAGCAGAAGCCCTAAGTCCCTCTATCCCTAAGTCATTGGGTGCTGCCCTCACCCACTAACAGTCTATAGTAGGGGTCCTATTAAGGGCTATATGTAACCATATTGTAATTATCCAACTGTTACTGAAGGGGGGCAGTACCCAACCTAAGTCCCTCAACCCTTCGACACTGAAGAGAGGCTTTCCAAGGGAAAGCCAGCCTCACGTCTCCGAACCGGTCGTCTGTAACTGGCTTTGACAAGGCGGATTCGGGCGACTGGAGCAGGGCTCAGTCAGGGATGGGGTCCGAGGGGATATGATATGGTATATCGGGATATGTAGGGATATATAGGAATACATAGGGATGTATAGGGCTATAGAAGAATATACTGGGACATATAGAGGGGAATACATTGGGATATGTAGGGCCATACTGGGATATGTATATATATATATATATATATATGTACACCCCGTCACTTCCCCCCTACCATGTTCAAGGACGGGTTCGGGATCATGCTAGTCTGTTACTGATTCCTCTACTACCCGACCCACTATACTGGACCCTCCAGGTATATACCCCTCTCGGTTCTTGCCCAGTTACCCTGATCTATTTTCAATTACATTTACATACTCAACTATATATTACATATCTTCAATTGAAGGGGAACCGAGGCGGGTTAGCATAGGGGAGTTAGCAGTGGAATCCATGGTTCAGGTGTTCTCATTTCAGCGGAAAGCCTCCATGGAATTTAAGCGAGATTTCCGACTTCAACGCATCGCCTTTGCCGTCGTGTCGAACATGTTCTTCGAGTCCGCATCAATGTTCATGCTGTGTGCGAATTCAGTTGCAATTGGAATACAGACAAACTACCTGGCTTCTAACATGGTTAGTGCTGTGCCTTCGTATCTCCGAGCTCTGGACATTATTTTTTGTGTGTCTGGGCTGCTATGGGTGTTTGGTTTCGAAGTTGTCAGGGTTGTGTCGAGGACACCAGAAAGATTCAACGGAATCCCTGAACGTCTCTTTTTTAAAGAGACCACACGTTCGGAGGGTGTCGCACGCAATCTAGGTCTTCTTTGCCATCGAACTGGTGGTGCGTCTCATGGCCTTCGGGAAGCGCTTCTTCGTGATGACTGGCTGCGGCTGGAGCCCGGCCTCAAGAGGGGAGTTTCCAGGTCTTTTTTGGGGGGTCCTCCTGGTAGGACTACATAAGCCCTATTATAGTATAGTAGTTTCCATTTTTCCAGTATTGCTATATAACCCTATATTACCTTATATTCTCCCAATATAATTGTTCTAGCCCCTACAAAAATTGGGAGGATTTTCAGTTCCGCAAACTGCCATATCCCCACTGCTATGATCGAGACGTGGGAGTACTTGACCATGATGGGTGATACCTTAGGATTATTGGGATAATTGTCAAGAAAGTGGATCTATTCTAGTGGGGTGATATAGGGTTTAGGGTTCAGGGTTTAGGAGTCATACTCAACTTCTCACCCTTCTTGTGCAGCTACTGCTGCCGCTGATGACATAGGGGAGACGCTAGTTTTTGGGGAACATGGGTGGGTTCTTCTTTCAGAAGCACCCTGACAGATGAAAGTTCGGTTCTTATCCTGAAGTTGAAGCGCTATGCGGAACAGCGCCACCAGTGCTGTCACCAAGAGTTATCCTGGACCTAGACTAGTGCCAAGCGCAGCTCTTGAGCCAAGGAACGTTCTGGACCTTATCTTGGTGAGCGCTCAGGTCGCTGAGGAGATCCTTCTAGGAATTGCGGAGATGAACGCCGAGGGAGGCACTGTTCCATACAACACGGAAATGATGCGTGTCGTCCGCATACTGCGCGCCATCAAGGTGGTGCGGCTTGTGGGCGCAGTGCGATTTGCCCAGGACCTGCAGCTTTTGATCAACTGCCTCTTCCTGTCCTTGAAGCAGTTCCTGTGGTCGGCTTTGCTGCTGCTTTTGGCCATCTACGTGGTGGCAATCTATATAACTCAGGCTGCCACAGCATATCGGCTAGAGAACCCGGCGGGGCAAAACCCTGGTGAATCAGTCGAGTCCGCCATGACGAAGTGGTGGGGCTCCATGCCCCAGAGCGTCCTGTCACTCTTCCAGGGTACCCGGGCTCTTCTTTGGGCTTCATGTTTGGGTTGGATGCAGGATTAGGGACTTTTGGGGTATCTTTTTGGGGTCCCTATGACAAGGCTAATAGTATTTTGGAGTCTAATACCCGAAAATATTTTAGATATACTAGGAAAGTACCATATAGTTTTCGTCAAACCACTGAAACCATCAGAAGTGCCTACTTGGCAAGGGTCTGTCCTTTGCCGGGTTGCTGTCAACCTTAACGATCCTGTAAACACGGAACCCTCTTATCTACAATATACACATAATATGATAATTTTTCATTATACACATGATATGGTAATTTTTCAATATACACAATATAGTAATCTACTCTACGTTCCTTAACAAAAACCCAGTTCGGAGTGTAGGTGTCACCGGTGGGGTGGACTGGCATGAGATTGCGGACCCTCTGATAACTGGCATCAGCCCCTGGATCCTGGGTCGCCATTGATCTCCCAAAATTCAGGGTTTAGGGTTTAGGGTTTAGGGTTCAGGGTACTTTTGCGGGTCTCCATAAAAAGGATTATAGTATTTTGGGGTTCATATTGGGGTCCACCTATTTCACTGCCATTTCTAGCTGCGGGGCCTAGGGTTTGTAGTTTAGGGTTTGAGGGTTTAGGGCACTAGGGTTTAAGGGTTAAGGGTTTCAGGGCTTGAGGGCTTGAGGGTCTAGGGTTTGAGGGCCAGGGTTTAGGGTCCACAACCAGATGTGGTTGATTTAAAAGACAACGGCCTTTGCCTGCATCCTTGTTGTAACGGGGTCCTGCAAGTCTATTTCCCTGAGCCCCTAACCCCGCCAGAGACCCAAAACTCACAACCCCCAACTCGAAACCCTAGACCCGTAGCCCTACGCCCAGAATCCAAGCATCAAGACCATTCAAGACCCTCAACCCTAAGCCCCAAGCCCTAAACCCAAAAACTAAGACCCCAGACACTACGCCTCAAACCTGAAGCCCTAGACCTCAACACCCTGAATTCCAGGCTGTAGACTCAGAGCCAATACTCCAAAGTGTAAACATTGACGCCTTAGCCCTCAGTAACGTAAGATTCTAGGTCTCCTTTGGTTGTAGCATTCTATGACCGAACTTAGGGTTTAGGGTTTAGGGTTTAGGGTTTAGGGTCTTCATTCCTGCAACCTGCAAAAAACACATTTCTGTTGTGTAGTACACCTTTTACTGTGGCCTGGCTTTTCTTGTCTACTTGCCTTGCTGCCCCATAAGGAGAGGTCGGAGGGAGAATGCCTTAGGGTTTAGGGCTCAGCAACAGCAATTGGCTTTTTCACTCATTCACCAGTAAGATTGGGGAATTTCTTGCAGGTGAGGTTGCTCATGTAGAGACTCAACGTGCTTGGAACGTTTTTTGGGGACGGCAGAAAAAGCATCATTTGGAGACATCCGCAATGGAGTCACCGATTGAACAATGCCTAGCTAAACCACCCAGCAACTACCCACAAAAAGGCTCCGCAGCCCCAGACCTTCGATCCTAAACATTGAACCCTCAAAATCCCCAACTGATCCACTTTAAACTCCAACACACCGTACTGCGCGGCCTACAGAGTCAGGCTCACAAACCCAAAACTCTAAACCCAAAAGCACATGACCCATAATCTAAACTCCTTCTATACCCCTTACTAGGTCCTATAATCGGAACCATGTAGAGTCCCACATATAACCCCGTCTAGGGAGTTTAGACTCTAGGTTACATTTGGGAGGGTTTCTCCGAATCCAGACTTGGCCTTCTTTCCATTTCATTTTCCATTTTCTTTTCCCTGTATTGGGAGTAATATCCGTAAACCGTAAACCCTAAATCCTAAGCCATAAACCCTAAAAGGGTTTCTCCGAATCCAGGTTTGGCCTACTTTTCATCGTTTTCATGGCCTTTTGCATCCTTGCGCTGCTGAGCCTTAGCCCGCGGTTCCGGGCTCACGGTTTTGCGATTGGAGGTCTCCGGTTTCCTTACTGGGGGTTGGTAGGGGTTGGTAGGGAATATGAGAATATGCTATATACGGATTGTATGGGGAGTATCTTCCCTTGTTTCCTACTAAGCCCCAGTAAGTTTCCGTTTTGGAGTTGGAGGCCTGTTGCCTCACTTGTACCTCTCGCCCAGCAAGATCCAGCGCGCGAGTGTGGATGCTAGCAGGTAGAGCAATACTTTGGGCAACGCGCAGGGAGCACGCAAGACCGTAATGAAAACCATTACCAATCCGCCGCGTCCGAAGAGACTCGAAGAGATTCCTTGGGGTTGCAGCCACTTTTAAAACGTGCTCTCGTCTAGATCTTTTCGCGCAACTTCCGAGCAAAAGAGTACACACAGCCTGTGCCTCAAAAGCCACGAACGCCCAAAGCTTCCTGGTTGTCATAAACCCTCAACGCTAAACCGTTCTTGGAGTAGCTCCGATTTAATCCTATGGAATACATCCTATGGAATACATTAGATTGCATTTGCATATCCTAAGCCCTAGGTCATAAAGCAATTCTCATCTCTTCTAACGCCTAAACTTAGGCAGCAGCTTTCATAGTCTTCGCGCTTATCTCGCTCCCTACCAGGAATGGATCCCTAGCGGAGCCGCAATCCAATCCACCCAAAGTTTCCATTTTCCTTTCCATTGTAGCAGTTCCTTGACAACCCTAAACATGGAATCTCCTTGAAGCCAGTTTCAATTCTCTGTTATCTGGAATCCTAATAGCCAGCTGAGATTATGATTTCTACCAGGGGTTCCTGGAATTTAGCGGAATCCGAAATCCTGACAACCAGCCAGGAATGTGATCACCGGCACCTTCGTGGAGACCATGAGCCAGCAGGCTAAAGATCTGAAATTGAGGAATCGCGTCCTTCAAGCGCGAAGGCTCCTCGCTTGCCTTTTGCAACTGCAATCTTATCCCTGGAGAAATATTCCTTCAATCCTATGAGCTATAGTTTAAACCAATTATCCTTATAATGCTCCCCCATATAACCCCCTTCGTTATTTTAGTCCTCCTTTGAGGAGTTTAGACTACAGCTCATATGAGGGATTCTAGTCCCATGAAAGGTCTCTTCCTCAAGTAAGGTATCTTGGGCTCTTTGAGTAGGCAGGTTTCGTGAGGGGTTTCAAAAGTTTTCCGGTTTGGGCCCCTAAACCCTAAACCCTTCCGGGTAGGAAGCCGGCCCGTTGTATTAGCTTTGGCAACTTTGAGGCGCAGGGTCTGGGATGGGCTAGGGATGAGTGCAGTTACTGTCAGGTTTTAGAAAATCAGGTAAAGATATTCCCTATATAATTCTTGCAGAATACATTCCATTCTTCCCTAAACAACCCCAGTAAGTTTAGGGTTTAGGGTTGTCAGGAAATGACGAAAGTAAAAAAAAAGGTCACCTTGGAGATCAGCAAACAGGGCTGTGCCTCAACACGGGTGCCCTTGCAATTTCGAGCTCTACAATGCGGATGTGCTCAGAAGACTCCATAACCCTGTTAACCCTGATAGTACTCCCCTTTATATTCTCCTATAAAACCCTTTAACATTTAGGCCATATAATACTCCCCTATATAATCTCCTATATAACTCGCTATATAATATTCAGGCTATGTAATACTCCCCTATACAATCTCCTATATAACCCGCTATATAACATTTAGGCTATATAATGCTCCCCTATACAATCTCCTATATAACCGCCTACATAATATTCAGGCTATATAATACTCCCCTACATAATCTCCTATATAACCCGCTATATAACATTTAGGCTATATAATATTCCCCTACATAATCTCCTATATAACCCCCTATACAACATTTAGGCTATATAATACTCCCCTATAAATCTCCTATATAACCCCCTATACAACATTTAGGCTATATAATACTCCCCTATACAATCTCCTATATAACACGCTATACAACATTTAGGCTATATAATACTCCCCTACATAATCTCCTGCAAACCCCCTATATAACCCCCTATACAACATTTAGGCTACATAATACTCCCCTATATAATCTCCTATATAACCCCCTATACAACATTTAGGCTATATAATACTCCCCTATATAATCTCCTATATAACCGCCTATATAACCCCCTATACAACATTTAGGCTACATAATACTCCCCTATGTAATCTCCTATATAACCCCCTATACAACATTTAGGCTATATAATACTCCCCTATATAATCTCCTATATAACCACCTATATAACCCCCTATACAACATTTAGGCTACATAATACTCCCCTACATAATCTCCTACAAAACCCCCTATATAATATTCAGGCTCTGTAGTTGTCGTAGCTATTGGTGCAGCCTGAAGGCCCCAAGCCCTGGCGCCCTAGGCCGTGCAAACCTTTGGGCCGGCAAATTGTAACTTACCGGGGGTTTAGTAGGGAAAAAAGGGAATGTGTTCTGTAGGGTTTAGGGTTTAGGGTGTAGGTATTATATAGGGATTGTATTCCTTTGTCCCCTACTGACCACCAGTAAAATAATGGCCTCACCTGACCTTATTCTACATGGTGGCGGGGATATATAGGGGGTAGGGATATAGTACCGCAGTAACGAAGAATCAAATGGAAGAGGATAGCGGTTCCCTACATGTCCTCGACAAGCCTAACTTTGGGGTATGGCCAGTCTTTATAATCACAGGAAAAAGTGATTTTTGAACCAACGCAAATGGGAAATACAGGGAACCCTGCTCATCTAGAAGGTAACTGCAAAGTGACCGTGAACTCTAAGCCCTCAACCCTAAACCTCAAAATGGCGTTATTCAGGGTTTGGCACCATCATATTTCAGCCGGGTGTGGGGCTTAGGACCCTAGATTCCGGATCCCAGGAGCTCGAAAGAAAGACCGGATTAGACCTCCACCCACTCATGGTATCTCATAGTGGTATATTAGGAAAATATACGGACCTTAACACGGTGATTACCATTAGTTCCTTTGGTCACTGTTAAGGGGAGTTGGTTTAACTTAGACCTAGACAATAAAATAAAGATTGCAAACGCACCGTGATTCCGGCCTAGCCTTGTAGAGCCCACACCGCAGAAGTGGGATGTACTTACAAGACGCGCCAACCTTGAAGGCCACCGGCAACTGCGGAGAATGACACAAACATGCGCATCACAACAACATAGGAAACTCAAGCCCGAACCCCAGAACCCTAACCTCCTAAGCCCAAAGCCCCAACCCCCAAACCCTCAACTGTAAACCCTAAACCCTAAGCCCCAATCCGCAAACCCTCTACCCTAAGCCCCAAACCGTAAACCCTAAACCTTAGCCCCAAACCGTAAACCCTAAACCCCAAGCCCCAAACTGTAATCTCTAAACCTTAAGCCCCAAGCCGTAAACCCTAAACCTTAAGCCCCAAGCCGTAAACCCTAAACCCTAAGCCCCAAACTGTCAACCCTAAACCCTAAACTGTAAACCCTAAACCCTAAGCCCCAAACTGTAAACCCTAAATCTTAAGCCCCAAACTGTAAACCCTAAATCTTAGCCCCAAACTGTACACCCTAAACCCTAAGCCCCAGACTGTAAACCCTAAACCGTAAGCCCCAAACTGTAAACCCTAAACACTAAACTGTAAACCCTAAACCCTAAGCCCCAAACTGTAAACCCTAAATCTTAGCCCCAAACTGTAAACCCTGAACCCGAAGCCCCAGACTGTAAACCCTAAACCGTAAGCCCCAAACTGTAAACCCTAAACACTAAACTCTAAACCCTAAACCCTAAGCCCGAAACTATGAACCCTAAATCTTAAGCCCCAAACTGTAAACCCTAAACCCTAAGCCCCAGACTGTAAACCCTAAACCCTGAGCCCCAAACTGTAAAGCCCAAACCTTAAGCCCCAAGCCGTAAACCCTAAACCCTAAGCCCCAAGCTGCAAACCCTAAACTGCACATCCTAAAGCCTAGAATTTAGACCCTAGACCCTAAATAGTAGTTTCCATGTTCTTTTCCATTAGCCCAATATAACCCAAATGTACTACATAGTAGTTTAATTCAGACCCAAAACCTAAACCCTAAACCCTAAACCCTAAACCCAAGTATTGCCAACCTAAGGCTCTTCTGCGAGATCGACTTGGACGGCTCAGGATTCATCAGCCCGGATGAGATTGTCGACCACACCTCGAATCCTGCAGTGAACCTCGTCCGGAAGGGCTTTTTAGGGTTCAGGGTTTAGGGTTTAGGGAGAAAGGGGTAGGAAGACAGAGGGATATTCAGGGTTAAGGGATTTTAGGGTAGTAGTAATGGAGAGTCAAATGGAAGAAAGGAAATACAATGTCTCTAGAGGTTTACGTTATCCATACCAAAATCCAATTTTGAACGATGGGTTCAGAGTACTATCGTGACATGAAAGAGGGTACTGGGTGTATATGGGGCTTCTAGGAGGTGTAATGTAAGCAAGCCTGAAAAAGTACCAATGTTAAGCCGTAGCCGCACCCTTTTCTACTCTTCTACTCATTTTGCCCCCTACAAGACTCCTGAAGTAATATGTCTATTTGACAAAAGTAGTTTTCTTTGCATGCTAATATAATGGTCCAGAGTATCAAGGGTGCACAGGAAAGGTCTGCACACAAGACCCCAACCAAACAAGATGCGATTTCCCCCAAGCCCTTCTACATTCCATTTATTTCGTCACAACAGAACAACATGCCAGTTGTTTGAGACTGTAGCACATTTTTTTAGGTTCAGCTTGCTCAAGGCTGCGTGTAGGGGCTTGTAGTTGTGTAGAGCCCAAACCTTTGATCTGCAAGCTCTTTCAAGCATGTTCATGAGCCGACGCCTGAAGCCTTCCGTTAACGAGAAAGCCCAGCAAAATACATATGAAGATTGTACCTCAGCATTGTGGTACCAATGAGAGAAATGACATGAAATTTACGAGTCACACAAAAGTAAGAACAGGTGCATATGATATGGCATCTCCATCTACGAAGCGCCGCGAAATTAGGGAGAGCGGTTGCAGAAATGTTGCAGGTTCCAAAGACGACTGGAAACATCTTGAAACTTAAACCTACACCGCAAGCTGATCGCCCAGCCGAAACAAGGCTTTCAAGGCCGTAATACACAAACCTTTCAAATTTTGGCTTGATTCATATAGCCTCCTATCATTCTCGTGTACCCCTGCCCCACTGCAAACCCTACGAACCCCCTGCACCCCTCCCTGGCCAAATCCTTAACCCGAAGCCCTTCTATCTAAAAACTAAACCCTGACAGGCAGGAGTTTTTCGAGTCTATCGACGTCCACCCTTCAGAGGCCCAGCGACTTCTGGAAGTCATCGACATCGACGGCTGCTAGGTGCAAGGTCGTCGGAGTAGGATGCAAGGCTTCGGAAAACGAGTTCAGGGATATGATCTTACTACCCAAAGGTCTCAATGAAGCTTTGGCTCCAAGCCCTGAACATCAATAGAACATGCCCAAAACTTACCGCACCCTAAACCCAAAACCTAAACCCTAAATGGTAGTTTCCATTTTCTTTTCCAGTATCCCAATAGAACCCCAATATAACCCCTACTTGAGGGGGAATATAAACCCTGCCATGTCCTGAGGTACCTCAAGCCATGACCCAAAACTCTCCGCTTCAATAGTAACAGGGTTTTGGGTCGCCCTAATCAGCCAACTAGGGTACAAGTATCATGTGATCGTACTAGGGTCCCGATTTGGGGTGTCAGGGTTGCCAAAATCGTTTCATTATACAACCCCAAAAAATCCAAGGAAACCTTGTAAACCTCCAGCTTCCGTTTCATTATTATGCGCTGTCTTTCTACTTGATTCTCCAAATATTGGAGAAATATTCTCAAATCCTATGAAACCCTATATAGCCCCTTCAGTGGGACACTATATAGGTATAGTATATATAAATATATATGTACACACACATATACATATGTATACATTAGGTGGACCCCCCACCCAGTAATAGTGACTATAAGGAATAGTAAGGATTATATTAGGGTTCTCTTATATTCCTGTTATACCAGTATTACAGGGTGGGGGGTCCTCCATATGTATACATGTTGTAACCCAGGGAATGGCAAGATCAACTTCGAAGAGTTCTTAGAGGCCTCCATGCGCCTCAACGGAGCCGCGCGGTCTTCGGACTTAATCCTGCTGGCACGGGAGATGACCCTTGAGCAGAGTTGTTTTGGATTTGGGATTCAGGGTTTGGGGTTCGGGGTTTCAGGATTTGGGTTTAGGGGTCCTGGGTTGGAATGTTAGGGCTTTATGTGGATGTCTTCGTTTCCGAAGTTCTTTGTCTGAAATGACGAACTCGAGTCACTCAGAAGGGGTCGCCCGGCTTGTTCTCTTGGTTTCGACAGGCCAAATGGGGCCCAGGTTCCATCAACGTTGTCGGCTACCTAAAGCCCTAAGCCCCAAACGGAATCTCTATGTCTTGTGTATGCCTGAAGGCACCTTGATCATGTGAGGTGACAGCTGGGTGTGTTCAAGCGATGTAAGGTGTCGGGTTTTGCGAGGGTTTGGGGGGCGGAGCTCGGCAACTTTCAGTTTCTACCAGAGGTTTTGGACACAGTCAGGTCTAGAAGTATTTCTCAAGGATACCCTGGGGCCTGGTGACATAAGGCCCTCCCGGAGTACGTAATCGGACCCCTCATACTCCTTTTGGAACCTCCATAAACGCACCGGTTTTCTTCAGTCCTCCCTTTCGTGAAGCCACAATTCTCCGCAAGACCCAGCTCATCTGAGCAATGATTGCAGTGCAGGAGTGTCTTAGGCTTGCAGCACTTGTAGTTGTCTTACGACCCCTTATACGCGTGTATTAACCCCAGTTGTCCTCATTATTAGAACACTTTCAGGCAATATGGGGTCAAGAGGTTTTATGGTGTCAGCTGTTTTTGCGGTTGTTCGTAGATTCTGAGCCCGGCTACAACAACAGAAGTTGTATTTCCTGGTATGCGGGCTGCCGAAAGACCCAAATGCCTAGGAAGCGCTTCCATGCATCCCAGCTGAAATATTTGAACGACTTGAAGAGCCTGATCTCTTCAGCGCAGCCGTCCCTTATGTGAGCAGCGGTTCTGGAGGGTTAATACTCAGTACTCCGCTGCTTCCAGAAATGGACCTGGGCTGTGCATCTCAATGATTTTTGGGAGTGTTGCCGTAGTTCCATCATGGACAGGTGTCACTCTATCAGATCCCGCGTAGAATCCCCAAAAGGGGGGCGCACGGTGTATTCTATTTTCCTGCGGCCTGGTAGTTCAAGACTCCGAGTCTGCATCCTTCACATCGAAAATCCTGAGCTGGCGTGGTTGGGGGGCCCGGGGCGCGAAGCAGGATAGCAAAAATCTCAGGAACCGCCCCTGAGATCCAGTATAGTCCCGAGTACAGATGGTCCATTGTATCGAAGATCTGGTACTTGGGGTGGTGCTTGATTTTCAGTTTAAGGGGGAGGGATACATGGTCATGACATGCTGGGGTTTCCGCACGCAGATCCTATGACGGGTAAGGTGAGGTGCAACAACTGAGGCCGGGATGTTCAAGCCTCACTCGGACCTCCGTGATGTGGCTCCTTTGGGAGAAGTTGTGGCTTCTGAGTTCTGAAATTTTGACAATTCAGCTTCACAAGCCGCTATTACGTCGAAATGTTTAGGCTAAAGCCTTGCAAGCTAGGTAGAGAGCCAATGAAGGTGGAGATGCTTCAAGAAGGCAATGGGCAGAGATTGATGTGTTCCTATGGGAATCGCAATCAGGTGAGCAGGATCAATGAGCTTGACAGTCGGGAAGGGCGTGAGGTTCCTTTTGGGTCAAATGCAAAAAACATGTCCATTTGTTTGATAATGGCATCGTCCCAAGCCATCCCAAAGCTCGCTTGCAACGCAGGGAGGGAAACCAGTGATGCGATTTGGGGTGCTTTCACGCCATGGGCCCAACCTTTACCTATTAGGCCGTGAAGTTCCGCCCGTGTTTGAGAACACACAGCGAACACCACGGCAATTCGACCGAAAACTGACTTGCCACATCCGGTGTGTTTTTTTTCGCTCCCGCTACCCGTGACCAGTTGTCTAGATTGCCTTTGTGCGATGAGAGCAGCCAGCAGCAGTCAACATCAGAAGAGCGCTGGGCTCACGATGTGCGGATTCTCGCAGCTGCCCGGAATATCAAACGCTGGATTCCGTTTGCATCCTCCCCTCACATGTAATCCAACTGATGCAACAATTCCGGCATGTCAAGGTGAATTGTTCCTCCGTACCCCTGTACCTTCCAATGTGTCACGTCGTATGAAATGCCACCTGGTTTCCCCTATATTGCTGATGGCTGTGCCAGCAGGAGCTTGCTACAGCAGCTATCGAAGCCAGATTCAACGAATGCAGCTGCTGTGAACGTCGCAGACCCCTTTTGAAATTCTGGCAATTCTGCAGTGAGCTCAAGGACATCTTGAGAACCCATTTCGCCCCGTCCCCCAAAGAACGATACCAGTTCCTAGTTGGCAAGCTGGGAACATCCCTTCATGTGAAGCCACGCACGAACATACCCTTGGACGTTTCTTGGTGGAGATGGCGTCCTTGCCGCCACCATCTATGCAGGCAGCGTTTAGCAGCCGTTTGTGCCCCTGCTGCCGTTCGCCGGCTGTCAGCGCAGCCTCCAGAGCCGCTGCGGAAAGCTCGTGAACGCACGCGGCACGTGTCGATCATGCCCCAGCATGCTCGCAGCACAAGCCTGCAGGCAGAGAGCCCCAAGTTTGTACAGTTGTTCGTGAAACCGATTTTTGCCCATGTAAGTGGTTTGAACTCTCTTTAGTGTAGTGCGCGTCTTAATCATCCCGGCCATGTGCCTTGGGTGGATGGTGGTGGCCCTTCCAAAGCTTGGATTTAAGGGGCTGCGCCCAAGAGCGGCATGCTGGTGCGTGGCTGTCCGCCATTCCAGCTCACGCCGTGACGACCTTGGCGCTGGATCTTGTGCACCTAGCCTTGCCGGGGACGCATGGCTACCACTTCGTATCGTGCCCCCGCACCTTTACCGCCAGTATCAGCACAGCACAGCACAGTACAGTGGTCCATGATGCACTGCCTTCCTCTATGCTTGGCCTGGGGCCTGCAGGCCGGCCACCGGCCACAGTGCCTGCCGCGGGGCAGGTGCCAATGCTGCCACCAACTCTTTGCTTCACGAACTGAACGTTGTCGCCGACCGCTAGGACAACCATCATCGTGAGGGAATTGCCAACGGCCTACGCTGGGTCTTAGTTGTTGCGCGGCACCTGTCGTAGCTTGATGTGTCCAGTGTTGGTCGGCCGGGTTTGCCTCCGCTGCCGCCAAAGCCTTCGGCGCCACCCTGCCCTCCCTCCAGTTGACGTTGGTGGCCCTTGCCCGCCTTGGACTTGGATTTGGTCCGTGCTGTCGTCACGCTGCAACGGCAAGCTGCGTGTAGACGCTGTCATCAACAAGACTTTCCTGATTGTGTTGGTGAAATTTCGTAACTCATGGCCAACCCCAAGACATGATATGCCTGTGTGGACACTCAATCGATGCAAGGACAGCGCCGCGATGAGTGGTGGCAGTGGTCCCAGTGTGGCTGGTGGGACGGTGGTGCCAGCACTGGTTGGCGAGATTGGAGCAGTGGCAATGATGTACGCTAGTCGACACCAAGATGCCATGCTCAAACCGCCAAGCTGCATGTAGATGCTGTCATCAACAAGACGTTCTTGATTATGTTGGTAGAATTTAATAAGTAATGGCCAACCCCAAGACACGAATTGCCCATGTGAACGCTCCGTCGATGCAACGCTAGTAAACGCATGTAAACGCCAGGATGTCATGCAGAAACCGCGACGTTAGTGGACATCTTCAGGGTTGGGTGGGGGCCGCATGCGGGCACGCGCTGGCCACGACAACGATCTGGCGCCGCCCGCTCCTGGCACCTTGACTTGAGGATGAGACACTCGTCGACACCCTTGCCCCAGCCTCGCAACACACCCACGCCGCCGCTGCGCGCTCAAGGGGCACAGCCCGGCGGGCCAAGACTCCCACATGCGCGCACGCTCAGCGGTGATCCCCAAAAGACATCAACCTCCGCATGGAGCATCGTCGGGGGGCGACCGGCACAGCAGCCGGAGCTGACAAGAGAGAAGCGGTACTGCGCATCCGGTACCACTGTGGCCGGGGCAGTTGTCGGCGCGCAGTTGCGGGGACGAGGTTTGCGATCTCAAAACGCGTGTCCAAGCCGGTCACTGCCGCGTTCTGCCGGCCAGGCACCCCAAGCCCCGCACCGCTCCCCTGCAGCTTCCGGCGCTGACTTATCTGTTTTGAGGAATGCAGCTGCGGAAGGCGTGTTAAATTCGTGCATGCGCAGGTACTGGGCCGCTTGCTCCGGCGCTCGGGGGCCATCGGCTTCCGCTAACGGGCGAACGCCAGTACGCTTGGCTGAAGCTGGCCGGCGGCACGCTGCCCAAGAGTTCTAGTACATCGAGTACACGGCGTGTTGCTACGTCGTCGCCGACCCCAACTCCAGTCCCACCATGCACCAGTGGAGCTGGGCACGACAGGCGGTTGCACCCAGCATCGGGATCCCTTGCTCAAGCCTCGCACCCGGAAGCAGTGCCACCAAACGCAGCATCTTGTTGGGATGCGAACACCTCGGTGTGCCCCGGAGGGACGGTAACGGGGTGCCCCGCGATGAAGCAGCAGAAGCCACGCACTTGCTCGTGCAGGACCCTCGGGATCCTGCTTTTAACATCAAGTCTATGAAGGGAAAAACGCCTACCAGGCTGCCAAGCACGACAACCCCCTGTGTTTGTCCGGGGCGCCAATTGCCCGTCCAAGACGGGTTCCTCCGGCGGCAATTCGCTCAAGAGCCTCAACGGCTCTTCGCCCGGGCTGTCCCACACGCCTGTTTTCCTGAGGTGCACCTGGATGTTTGCGTGCTCCTCAAATTCTCCTGATTGGGTTGCCGTGCATTCTGTTCCCATTCAAGTAAAATGGGATCCCAACTGTGCCTATAATGTTTCTGTATGAGGCGCGCGGGCGCGCGCGCGCCCCCTCGTACCGGAACATCAGCACAATTGGGACCCCATTTTGGGCCGTTTCGAATAAAACTAGTTAGAAAGAACAGGAACTTCCAAATAAAAAAAAGAAATGCATGTTTTCGTGCATTTCTCCCCGATCAGGACCATCATCCGGGCCGAGGTGGGCTTCGTTTTCTCATGATGGCTGGGTTTTGGAAGGGGGACGGCCAAGCCGGCCTGTGCCACCAGGTGCGGGGGGAAAGCTTCAAAGACGCGCCCAAGAATCACCCAGATCCCCAAACACATGGATCCAGGTTTGGGGTGCGGTCGGCGGAACGGGCCGCAAGCCGGGGTCGCTGCCGCAGGCCATGGCCCTGGGTTTGCCATGGAATGGAGGTCAATGCCGCCGACCCTGCATCATTGGACCTCCCTTTGTCCAAGGAGTCTTTTCCAGGGCGGGGGTGCCTGGCTCGCAGCGCAATGCGCTTCACCACACCTCTCGAGAGCACGTTGTCAAGGCCTCAACAGATCGTTCTTCTCCTGTTCCAGATCGGCCTTCTTCTGTTCCACTTCGTCAAGGTCTTGGCGACCTGAGGTGTAGTTTGAAAAACAGCTGAAAGGAGAACTGACGCCCTAAACTACAATCAATGTTTCTGATTCTGCAATTGATTATGCCACGACTAGTAGTAGTAGTAGTAGTAGTAGTAGTAGTAGTAGTAGTAGTAATAGTCGTAGTAGTAGTAGTAGCAGTAGTAGCAGTAGTAGTAGTAGCAGTAGTAGTAGTAGTAGAGTTCCTTGGTAG